AACAAAACTGCAAGCAGTTCCGGGGACCCCACGCTCACTTCACTGCTCGATTGTTGAGCGACAATTGCCACGCGTCAACACGTCTTCCTACTGAGGAGATCCCAAACTTTTTTTACGCCAATATCCCAAACCCCTCTCCTTCCAATTTCAGAAATGCCAAAGCGAGAAAGTTTCGCTGAGGTCCCGTAGACCTCAGTGTGTATATCTAGGGTTAAATTAAAATATATTTTGTATTTCAAATAAAAACTTAAAAGTATTTTGTATTTTGTATCAATAAATCGAAAGTATTTTACATTTTGCAGTTCAAATACTATAAGATTGCCAGTATTTTGTACTTTATATTTAAAATACTTTAACGATATTTTGGCCAACCCTGATCAATTTGCCTTCGAATGTGATAAGAAAAAATCGTAACACGCACTTTTTCCGCCGATTTCATGCCGTATATGTATTTCATACTGTAAACAGCTGTCGTCGTGGAAATCGCATTGACAGCTTGACAAGTGCTGAAGATTGATAACTATGCTAGTAATTTTATTAAGGATGAATTTGATATTGATTGATTTGTGCAATAACATGCGTCGTCGTTTTATTTACTACCGTCTTAGGTAGACATTCCGCACTGCGCACCTATACTGAGGCCTGTCAAGGTGTCCAACAGTAGCATCCGCAATTTTACTGTAATAGTCTATTTCAAAGTCCTCAAGTTTCAAGAGGTAATTAAGATTTAAATTAAAGCGTTGAAATTTGAATCTCATTTCAATTTGCAATTGTTATTTGTAATATGGCATAATGAGCTGAATTTCAATTTGCAATTGTTATTTGTAATATGGCATAACGAGCTGAAGAACCCGAACTACTAGGAAATGGAGTGAGAGCAAGAATTATTATAGTTGCGCAACGAAAACCAATATCAACCAAGCTGCGGAAATTAATAGTACGATCGTTGTTTACACGTGCATTACGACCTTGTGTATCAACCAACTCTACTTGCTAACGATTATCTTTAATCGTTTAAAACTCTATTATAACCTTGATATTCTTATGCCTTAGTAGTCGGAGTTTCTAATTAATTTTCAAAACACACGCAATTGAAATCGCTTCTCATAGCTATACAATCGTGTTTACATTTCATATGTGTAATGTTATAAAAAAAAAAAGGGAACTTGAAATGCTGCAATCACTTGAAAACAAACGCAAAAATGCAAAAATAATGAATGAAAATAACTGATGGAAATAAAATATTTATAAAAAATAAAAAAGTAAATAATAATTAAAAACGGGACTGATGTGCAAATAACATAAATAAACCAAAAGAGCTTTTTTCGGTTAAAGCGGATACTAAAATATTTTTGCGTACATTTATAGAAAAAAAATTTATATATATAAGTCTATTGTGTTCGTATGTGTATGTATGTTTATATATATACAATCTATTTTAAGTTTCCAAACTTTGTTTAAAAATTTAATTTCATATGATTTTTGTAATCTTAATTATTGATAATTCAAAATATATTTCATCTGAAGTAATAAATACACTTTTTATAATGATTGTATAATTGCTGAAAACAATCCATAATATAATATAATAATCTTCTTTTGAAATGGAAATAAATGATCTTGAAAATCGGAATCTTCTGCAGTATTTCCAAAATTGTTAAAATGTTTTGTTCCGCTAAATTTATTTTTAACTGCGAACAAAGAAAGTAAAAACAGAAAGCTATATTAGGTGAATACGATGAATGGTCAAACAATGAATGGTCAAACTGTGAATGATCAAACACTTAGATATCTTGTGAAAACATACTAACGCTTTTAACGTCACAACAAATAAATAATGCAACGTGAAGAGACGCACAATTCTTACAAAGTAGAAAATTGAATTCCACAGAAAATTGTTTGACATATTATTTCAACAGGTTACTTCGGTTGCGCAGCCTGTAGAAAAAAGTTTGGCAATTTTTAAACAAACTGTGTACACGTATAATAATGAGCTTTGTACAATTTAGCAAGAAATTTTGACTAATTGTATTTTTAAATAGAACTTAAAACTTAGTTTTAAATAGAATTTAAAACTAAATATATTTGCGTTAACGGTATAATAATTTTTTTCAATGTTATGAGGAAATTTCGCGGGAAAAAAAAGTAATGAACGGCGCGGACGTCGCACGAGTGCATTGTTGTGTTTCTCTAACACTGTCACGGATAGATAATCGTCTTTTGCATATTGCGTTGCATAGAAATCGAGTACGACCGAGGATTTTAATATTAATTCCGCGATACCTGTAGTAGTCACGAGCAGTTCTAAACAAAGTTTCAGTATTTGAACTAAATATTTTTTTCAACGAAAATTTTCACACTGTCTAAAATCGGCGTATTGAATACTAAACAAAGCGCGATCACAGAGAATTTTATCCATATAATTTGCAACGACGGTACTGCATGGAATTAGATTTCCATGCCTCTTGATTGATTGTGCTCATTTTAATCATAAATGAATATAGACGTTCACGCAACATAAAGCTTTATTAGATGATGATTTTTATCTAATTTTTTAAAATTCTTTTTTATTAAATATAATATGTTCATTGTGCGTTTATTATTATTATTATTATTATTATCATAGTAGAAATGTTTCGACCTTTTCACAGTGCAGCGATTGTTTTTAGTTTATTTATTTTTTTATTAATATATTATTTATTATTATATATTATATATTATTTATTAATATATTATTAATATATTTTTATTAATTATATTTATTTTAATAATCGCCGTTTTATCACACAGCGTAGTGATAATTCACGTTTTATCATAAAATAATAATGCGCAACCGTGTTTGTGAGAGCAAATGTGCTATTATTACGGAGTCGCGGCTGCAATAGTGCGATAATTATTTGCGGTTTATTGAATCGTTCAACGTGTTTGCACGTAAAAACGAAGTGATTCATGAAACCGACCGACCCCGACGCGAGCGCTGCAATTTTGTCGCAACGTGAAATATTCAGCGATTCACTCTTATATTTATTTAAATCCGCAATTAAATCGCTTATCGATGGATCTCTAAAGGAAGACACGACCATTCCACCCGTAATCATATATATTACGGCTATTTTTGTACACGCTCCAAGTTTTTAACGTAAATTAATGGATGGAGAACGTCGCGGGCGGACGGAGTGCGAAGTGTCGCGAAAAAAACTTGGCGAACAAGAAAAAAGAAACGGCACTCACCCAGCATCTTCACCACCCGCCTGGACGATCTCCCGGGATAATGCCGGCAGTTTCGCATCGCGGACTCGCTTCTACCCGGAACGGTCATGTTCGACTTCCGGAGCTTGAGGCCGATCAGCACGTAGAGGAACGTGATCAGGCACATCGGTATCACGAAGAACAGGAACGTGGACAGCTCGAACGAGTGGCTGATGATGATCCTCTTGATCGTGCACATCACCATGTCGGGATGCCCGTTGTGCCGCACCACGCCGAACTGCAGGGCCTGCGGCAGCGCGAACAGCAGTGCCACGAGCCAGACCATCAGGATCAGCTTGATCGCGCGCGAGAGATTCGACAGGGTCTGCGAGAGGAACGGATGGCAGATCGCCACGTATCGCTCGACGGTGAAGGCGGCGATGGTGAGCACCGACGCGTTCGACGACGTCTCGGACGCGAGGCCGCGCAGCACGCAGAAACCCTCGCCGAAGATGTACGGGTACTTGCACCAGACCAGGTACATCTCCGCCGGCAGGCCCGACACCAGCAGCAACAGGTCGGACACGGCCAGGCTGAAGAGATAATAGTTCGTGGCGGTGTGCATGGACTTGTTGCGCGCGATCACGATGCACGTGCTGACGTTGCCGATGATGCCCGTGAGGAAGATCGTCGCGTAGATCACGGTCATCGGTATCACCACGTACAGGGGGTCGCGGTACGAGCCGAGCGACATGCTCGAGGACGTTCCCTGCAGAACGTCCTCGAGCGCCATCGAGTCGTTAAGATAGCTCTCCGTCGTGGACGTCGCCAGGATGTCGTCATTGTAACCGCCTTTCAGGTATAAAGTGCCGTTCAACAGGATGGACACCACCGTGGGGGCCATCGCGATCCCAATCATATGATGCGTGCAGCGTACTTGGGAAGCCCACTGCTCCTTGGCATTCTGGATCACTTCTTCTTCTTCTTAGTGTCTTTGGATATCTGATTCGATGAATCAAAGTGCCACGATTTCCGAATGTACCTGGACTTCTTTTAAGAAGCTAGTAGCCCAGGCAATTCTGGATCACTTCCGACAATAATTGAGTCTCCTCTAATAGTTCGCGGCGAGATTAGAACGTTCCCCCTCTTCCGGCCGTCGATTTGTGCCGCACGCACCCCTTTAAGTTTGTTTTCTTCTTCTTCTTCTTCTTGATCGTTTAGTTTTGCCGCAAATAAATTATCCTTTCATACAGAGTGGCAACGAGAGAAGCTTGATGTCTATTTTGGCTTAACTTGGAAATCCAATCTCCGAAAGCTGTCGAAAGATGTTTTTTTTCTTGCTGAAGCTATAGGTCTTCCTGGACCCTTAGACTCTGTAGGTCTGAAGAGATAGGTCTTCCCACGTCTGTCGTAAAAGTTCGCATCGAGCGGGACGACGATTCATTGTCATTTACTTTTTATCACTGAAGCGAGCTTGAGATCTGCGCGTGAAGCGAGTCGAAAGCAGCACGCGTGCCACGACGTCGCTTTTTATCAGAGGCCAATTCAAAGTGCCCACCACTTTTTTTCACGTTCGCATTGATGAGGCGCTGTCCACTTTAACTTCTTCCTCATGTATGTGGAAGGATCGGCATATACAAGCACGTCTACACGTGACGACGCGACCTCTCACTCTCGGGAAAAATTCTATACACCGCTTCGCTCTCGCGGTTTGTTTTTCTTCCGCGGTACGTATGTACGTGGCGTAAAGTGTGTATGTGTGTGTGTGAGTGTGTTGTGTGTGCGATATACCGCCGCCGCGGACGCCGGTCGAATCACGACTGCGAACGTCGCGACGCGTCGAAGAACGCCGGCCGTCTCTCTATCCAGGCGCGGGTTCAGCGCTGGCGCGCCGGTATCTCTCTCTCTCTCTCTCTCTCTCTCTCTCTCTCTCTCTCTCTCTCGACGGGCGATTCAAGTTTTGCCCTTAGAATCCCCCGTTTTCACGTATTCTTTCGCCTCTTGACAGATCATGAGTGACGGAAATGCTGAATCCCTCGTATCTCTTTTTTTACAACCGAGTCTTTTTGTACGGGTTTGTATCTGCGTTTCAAATAAGTATGTATGTTCGATCTTTCGATCTTTGATGCGGTGACGTTTTATTTACGGCTGAAATGCCGGCTGCGCGAGCTTGGTATATTACCCCTCTCGGAGACCAAATTATATTTATATATTTTATTCAGTGACTTAGAGAGAGATAGATAGATAGATAGATAGATAGATAGATAGATAGATAGAGAGAGAGAGAGAGAGAGAGAGAGAGAGAAAGAGAGAGCAAACAAGGAGAAAGAGAGAAAAGAGAATGATCTCCCTTCTATCTCTGTTGCTCTTAACTTCTTATCGCGCTATGCATTTATATCTCTATATTTTTATTCTGAAAAGAGAAAAGCAATAAATTTACATATGTGCACAGATGTTTTTTATACTTAAAATTTATTTAAATAGAAAAATATTACTTCTGCATTTTATTACGTGTGTCTACATGTATTTTATATATTGTCACGTATTTTGCACATTTAAACAAAATCGTATTTTCAAAAACTTTTATTTGTGCGACAGTACATTACTTGAATAACATAATTAATTCATTATACCCAGAAAGTATCGACAGAATTGGTATCAATATATAATTATTCGTTAAAATGGTAGAATGAAAATGTTAAAGATAGACTCCTATAAAAAGTGTAATTCCCCTTAAAAGAAAGTTGTTGTTTCGTATTAACACAAGTTGTCCTTTGGTTTTTCTTCTGTATTTTTCCATCTTGTATTCTACAAGTCAAACGCAATTAGCGACATTATTATCTTAAGTACCCGATACAATTATGATATAGCCTGCAATTTAATTTGTAGCCTCTTTCTATGATTTCACGTCGCCAACTCTTTTGACATTTTTCTCCCAGTTTAAGCTTTAAGTATAAAATCTAATTTTAGAAGAGCGTAAAAAAAGTCGCTACACACACAGAGAGAGAGAGAGAGAGAGAGAGAGAGAGAGAAATATTACTTAATTTTAACAAATTTTGAAAAAAAAAATTGTTTTAAACATTCATGTTTTTTTTCTACCAAATAGAACGATTTCATATAATAAAACTAAAAAATTTATATTCAACAAAATAATGTTACTGTTCTTACTTATTATTACAGTTATATTGTTTCAATGAAATAATATAAATAAATGTAAGCCAAGCAAATAGAAATACTAAATGTAAAGCAACGTTTTTCTCTGTATATGCAAAAAAAATGGAGTAAAAATTAATCTGATGGCACTGCAGCCTCAAGTACGTGTCATTTCTGCGGAAATTGAGGACTGCAGATTGAAGACTTCCGAATCGGAAACGGAACGGATTTGGAATTTAAAAATTATCTGATCAAATTCTAATGTTTAATTCGCAATCCTCGATCTCCAATACGTAATGTGATACACTTTATGTAATCTTTATGTAATCGAAATTGATTAATTCACATTTTTATAAACTCGTATGCAAATATGACGAACAATTATCTAATAATAATCACGAAGCACAGCAAAACCGATTCACAATCGCGTGCGTTTCCGTTAAATGTGCCGCCTATACATTTCATTATATAAGTCGAAACTTGCATAAACTCGCTTCGAGTCAAGCCGCACAAAAACACGATTAATGCGTAAAATGTTTTTTCTACCTGCAAAATTATTGATTATTGTATTGGATTACATTAATATTCTCAAGCGCTTCGTCGATAAATGTACAGTGAGAACAATTTTGCTGAAAGATTTATAAAATTACTGCTGAATACAGATCTGCACCGAGAAAAAAAATTTGTTGAAAAACTCAAAATTTGTTTCATCTTACCAAAATATTTAGTCCGATACGTTCAACTAAATGTTACTCTACGATGACACAAAATAATTTGTTACTATTATAAACAAAATACTATTTTTTAACTAAACTATTTTGTTTCAACAAAAATTTATTGTATTTAATTCAACCGTACAATTAAAAATACACCTAATTTATTATCCCCATCAACATCGTTTAGTTTGATACTTGGAATTTGAACAAACATATTAATTACTTGGATAACTAATAAATAGCATGCAAAGACAAATAAATACTACTTATTTTGTATTTCGAACAAAATAACTACTACTAACTACGTATTTCGAACAAAATAATTTAATTGAGTTTAGTTAATTCTTGATTAAAAAATTTTGATGGTTGACAATGAATGAACTCCGTATCTTTTTTTGTGTAACTAAAGAATTGTTGAATCAACCATTGAATCAAACAATTATGTACAAATTTAGTTTGTTTGCAATCAATTTTTTTTCTCAGTATGAAAAATAATATTGTCGAAAACTTAATATTGTTGAGCAATGCTGCAACTGTAATTTTAATATTCCAGCAACCTGCACTTTGAGTTTCCAACATAACTATTTTGGTTCATTTAAAATCATTTTCTGTAAAGCTAAAATTTAGCGGATCTTTCCGCAAAATTGTTTTTTTTTCCGTGCAGTATACACTAACACGAGATCGCCTGTTGAGTGAAGCTACACACATTTGCGTTATCGTGCAATTTATTTCCCTCTTAAAATAATTAATTTGCGTGCAAATAATCGGATTACTCGTTATCACGCGTTAAAAAAATGGATTGTCACCATTCGCGCTCGTTCCGATAATCGTGTCGCGCGGTCCGGGCGGGCAGTTTTCGAGGGCGATAACGTTATATATCTCGCAATAGGGTGAAGTACGTCGCTCGCTCGCGCGCGCGCTCGTTCTCGCAATTTGCCGCGGCGCGGGCCTTGGGAGAGAGACCGCGAACTATACCACGGCTGCCATAAAGACGTACCTACATCGTAATCGTATAAGACCCGTGCGATGCAATCCGATCACTTTTGCCAATTAGATAGATTCGAAACACTAGGCTTCACGTTCCTGTCGATTCGCCTCTGCTTCATTGTAGCGGTGCAGTGCAGTGCTTCCTTCGTCCTTATTTTTAATTAGCGCGCCGTGATCCCGCCGAGCAGCCAATTACCTCTTCCGTATCTTCATCTCTCACCATTTTCCTGCCATAAAATGTACGTCGGCTGTTCACTTCGAGTTTGATGTTCGCGAAAAATTCTGTTTCTCTCTCTCTCTCTCTCTCTCTCTCTCGATCGCGCGCAGGTTTAAACTGTTTAAGGTAATAATTGCAATTACTGCTGCAATTAACCGGTGCGTACAATTCCTATCGAAAAAGTCGAGAGCAAATAACACACGACGACGTGCGCGCACGTCGGATTTCGATGTTGATTGACAATGTTCGGGAAGTTCGCTTTGAACTCATGTATTAATTCGTATATTTGGACAAACTACGAGAAACTGCAACCTGCGTCTTGTTTAATTAATACACTTCAGCCGCGTGAGCGCGCGCAGTCGACCGTTTCAATCCCCTTTTGTTGTATCTCGTCTTGCAAAATGACGTATAAGGTCCATTTCGGTTGTTGGAACCCGTTACTTCGCAAACGATATAGTGTATATATATAGTGTTAAATGTCGCGATCCTTCAAGTTCCAATCTAAATTGAATCGGGTAATGAGAGACGGAATTAATCGACTTTCAAAAGACTAGCATATAAATCTGCACATATATAAAACGCAAATAAAGTAAGAAATGATTTCTCTCCCTCCCTCTCTCTCTCACAAAGTACTCCTTAAAACTTAAATTAAAGTCGTAAATAAAATGTCTTCAAAATCACGAGCGAGGCGCGTAAAAAAAGTCAATTTTATTTTCTCCCATTAGACATTTTCATTATTTGAATGCGCAATGAATGATATATGTATGTATATATACCGTACACGGAACATACGTTTTGTATACATAACTTTTATATATGCGTAGTTTGTATATCCGTACTATCAGAAATACTTCAATGATGAATAACAATAACATTAAGCGTTGCCGTCGTAAAGAGGATTACGGACGCGTTCGACAGTTTTTATTTTTTAAATAAACAAATACGTATTACTGGTATCGCTTCGACATGTTTTGAAAGTTGCCCTGTTCCACCGTATTTATTATTTGATGACGTAAGTATTATAAGATAATCAGAGTTATTTAAATTTTTGAAAAAGTTATAAAAATATTTCATTCTTCTGTGCGCGACTCGAGTAATATATGTACATAAGCGCACTAAATGTGGATTCAGTAATTAGTTAGTAAAATAATTTAATGTTTAAGTAATTATTGTATTTTTCATCGAATAATTTACTATGTTTAAGTGATTATTGTATTTTTCATTGAATAATTTACTACGTTTGAGTGATTATTGTATTTTCCATGCAACTAACGGCAACGCAATATATTTTATTTATATTATTGAGTAAAACTAAAACGTAGAACGACAATTTAGATATATCTTTAAAAATTTATTCAATTTAATACTCGTAAAAAAAGGATTGCCTTACAGGCTTTTACGGGTGGTAGTAAACAGTATTAGATTTCGTGAAAAAAACCATCATGCTCAATTAAAATTAAAAATGTTTTGCGTAGTTTAATCCGCAACTGGACGACTCCTGTGGATAATTTTTGTTATTTCATTCAATTAAAACTAAAAAATATAAAATGGTACTTAGAATTGAATAAAATCATAAAGTATTCTTAATGCGATTAATAAAACTATTGAATATGTGATTAATTGTTGTTGTATTTTTTGGATGAAAATGTGAAATTTTATTTTTAAAGTGATTCAAAACTTATTCTACGTGTTGGTATACATATATTTTACGTATAATAAATTAACAATGTAAAAATCAAGCTCGTCTTTATAATGACAATAAAAAGTAATGAAATTAGGCCACACTAATGACAGCACTTTATAACGAGGATGACAGTGTTTATTTTCATTACTTTTTATTGTTTTACGTATGTTTCCTGTAAAAGGTGTAATATTTGTAACCGTTTAGAAAACGTATATAAAATCAATATACTGCTACTTGGGGCATTGTGTCTCTGTATAAAAAGAAATATTGCATTAAAAAATATCTGAACGATCTATTTTTCATTTCCATGCAAATCGATGGAAAAGAATATTTTGTTTGAAATACGGCGCAAGAAGATACGTTTATTGAAAGCATCTCTACGCGCAATAGGGAATTATCTCGACAATATCGCATTTCACGCCTCCAACATTTGTACAGCAGGATTACGATACCGGAGATTGCAAGAAAATGTCGTTATTATTTCAATGCTATGATATTCAGTGCGATAACGCAAAGCGCTTTGCTTTCTTTGTAATAGGCAGTGGAGTTCAAATTACACTTTCACATCGTGACAGCTTAACGCGGCATGATAATTAATAATAAATAACATACATATCAGCAGTTAATGTAAATATTAAATTATGAAAATTATCGAGTACGGAGTCCTTTGAAAGTTGTATACTGTATAGCATCATTAGTAAGTGTCATAATCAATCGATTGATATCAGCACCATCCGACAAGCTACAGACTTTCTCAACTTCCTATTACATATCGGCAGGATTGGAAAAGTTACTGTGTAAAAGTAATTAGTTATAGTTTTTCTCACAAAAAGTACCCCTCAATAATTAATTACAATAAAAAGTTACGAATTATCGATTCTGAAAAATAAAACAGTTATTATTACTCAAAAAGAAACAAATCATATTAATTATTTTTCTGTGATGTTTATGCATTTGTTATTTTAAATACAGAAAAATTTTATATTTCTAACTAAATCATTTTACTTATTTTAATTAAACACTCGATTGTATGTCATATTATTATATATTCATATGAAAAATCACAATTTTTTTAAGAACTTAAAATAAAACTTTATTTAAAGTATTTATTAAATTGATAATTTATAATAAATTAATATATACATTTGAAATCAAAATTATGGAATCTGAATATTAAAGCGCATTTATGTACTAAATTACTAAAAGATTCTTAGGTTAATTCTTAATATAGATATTTACAGAGAGTGATTATCCGAAATAAAGGTGTTTTCTAATCACATACAAGAGATATTGATTGAGTTACTGATTGAGCACTTATTCTGCTGAAGTCCATTTGTTGACAAATATTGAATATAAAGCAATTGTAAAATAATTAAATTAATTACTAGTTATCAAAAGAATGTATCTAGATCAAGTTATAGGTAGAAAGAAAGCGAATGAAGATGTTGGAAAAAAAGAAACATTAACTGAAATTTTGTTAGAAAGAACAAGTTACTTCCCAGTACGTAAATCGTAGCAATCGTAATTAAAAGCGGCAATAAACTGACTATATGCTGTGTGCATCCAATTAAATGCAAATTGGATTTAATTGCAGAAACTCCTGTGATGTTCGACAGTCGGAATGTCACGGAATCAAACACATGCATATTTCCCCCTCCCCCCACCCCTTTGAAGCTAATAGAAGAAATATTATTAGTATGGAAAAGATATTATTCCATTTTCCCGTGCCTTCGCTTTATAAATATCTTAGGAAAGCATTCATAATCCTATAGCGCTATCGATTATCGGGGTATCGTCAATGATAAAGAGAATATATAAAGCACTGTTATGTGATACGAATATAATATATCTCAAAAGCAAGCAATACCTGCCGATATGAAATTTTCCCAGGTTAATACGTGTAGAATTATGCCGGTAATGTAATTCCGTGCAGCAACAGAATAATACAACATGACTGCGATCGCATACAATATATCGCATGTAAATCCAGCCGGCATTTATGATTCTTCTCACAAAGTGTAACATGTTCTCTCATTCTCCGTTAAAGATCTTACGCGATATCAATATAATTTTGTTGTGTAAAAAACTTATAATAATAACAAAAATCGTGCAATCAAAATAATTTATTTTTACATACGGAAAAATCAATATATCTAAATAAAAGCAGAGGCGAAATCCAGCATAGGAATTCCGTTCCGCGAGGTCAAGATTATTTTTTATGCAAGCGTTTTTATGCACATTTAAAGTAAAGAGCGGATCATTTCGATGAAAGATGATATTTTGCGATAGTCTGAAAATAATGCGTTTTTTTAAATGTCAAATTGGTCGTTGAATCGGAAAATGATAAAATTAAAATGATTGGAGCAGAGCAACATGGTAAAGAAGTGCATTTTTAGAAAATCGCTCAAATTTCTCGCAATTTTTAACTAAAATTACAGTTTTTTTCCGTCATTTTATCCTGTTCCAATCGCTTTAATTTTATCATTTCCCTATTCAGCGATCAATTTTACGTGGAAATGTGTGATTTTCAGACAACCGCAGAATTTCATCTTGCACCGCGGTCGAAATGATTTCCTATAAACTTCGAATATCCATAAAAAAACGCAAATAACACTCGCCGAATTCACTTTTATGATAAATTTTATCTCTACTTTCACGATCATGTCAGTTTTTTTCACTCTTTTCGTGCATGAAAAATGCTGTCGCATGTTGCAATGAAACTTAAAAAAATGATACATTCTTGAAAATAATTTTTTCTCCCTTTTTTATCAAAGATTCTTACATTTTTTCTTCCTCTGAATGAAAATAAAGCAAGAGTAAGAAAGAAAGAAAGATATTGTCTCTAAACTTCCAAGATCTAAAGTATAAGAGTGGCAAGTTTTGAACTACTTTTAAATCCAAAGTTTCTCTAGATATTTTAAATGTCCAATCCTGTGAGTTTGTGCCGTTCAACGTTTCTATGTTATAAAATCCGGAGGAGCAAAACGTTTCATCCATTAAAATAAGTTGTGTGGCACAGCAATTTGATATATGGCAATTTATTCGATTACTAAGTCGATTAATATTTTTTGAAATAACAGTACTTTTAGGCCGAATTCAGAAATAAAATCAATAAAGTAATATTCCGCTTTATTGTCAATCGGACGCAAATCATGATATTACACCTGTTACAATCTTTCTACCTGAAAATTAAAACTATATAATAAGAAAAAGTCATCCGAAGAAAATCCGAAACTTAATAGTATATTATCGGAAGTTATTAAATCCGAGAGAATATATCTATATAAAGAAAGGAAACTATTTATTTCATGTATGCAAGCTTGCGTTATATAAAGATACGTAAAAACACACGGTACCTATCAAACAAATAAAAAACAGTCGTTTATTTCGTATCCACACACAGCTCGTTCTTTCGCTATTCTTCATTGAAATAGAATAAAATTTCTATATCACGCTATAAAACAATTTTTTTAGGAACACAGGCACAATTTAAATGTAAACTAAGCGTAATAATTTCCTTGTCAAACTAAAAGAGTACGTGAAGATGGAGAGAGAGGACATTATTAAACGAGGGAATACCTATATCTATGTGAAAAGAGAGAAAACGATTTATTTTACGTATAAGCTATGTACATGAAAATACGAAAAAAAAACGCAATCTCTTTTAAACAGAAACAATCATATTCACATACTGCTCGTTCCTTTCTCTTTGCTATTATTTATTCAAACAGATTATCTATTTACACATTAAAATAAATTTCGAGCAGGCACAATTTAATTGTAAAGTAAGCTCAATAGTTTTCCGTCGACTAAAAATACACACGCGGCGAGAGACAAGAGTGGCACCAAATGATTATAATCCATAACGTCGACGTACAGGAACTTTTACCTGTAATCATAAGAACAAAATATAATTGAGGGAAAACGTTGAGTTTCGGCGATCTCTCGGCTAACACGAACAAGTTTCGATACGTAAATTAAAAACAATGCTGATTGATAAAAAGTTGTTAAGTATTAAGACGTCGGAAATTAAAGCAACGAGGACTCGAACACGTATAACTTAATAGGCATGTTCGTTATTCAAAGCCAGGATTTGAAACCGAACGATTATTTTGTATTATGTGGGCTGTTCGTCGCTCGTCATTGCTTGCAAATCTCCAAGTTAAGCGGCGTCTACAATGAGATCGCTTATACGAAAAGAACAATTTTGTTGAAAGATCTAAAAATTTTGCTGAATACAGATCTGACAATTAATTAATAAGAAGTAAAGGACTGTAAGTAAGATATTTAATGCTCCAAGTAAAATTAACTTTTTAATTAGCTTTAAAAAATTAACTTTAAAATTAACTTTTTAATTAACTTTATAATATAGTTAACAGACGTTTCGATCCAAATAAGATAATTTTCAATGTTAAGCAAAAAATTACTAATACATAATCTAAAAACAATTTTCGATTATCTTAACGGTCTAACCGTATGAAAATAATATACAAACAAAAACGGTCGTCCTATAACGATCTGACAATATAAAAATGTGTGTATTAATTATTACATTATATATACGAACTAGATTGAGGCGTAAATCTTCAAATTAGATGTATGTAAGTCCACATGACAGAATATTACAGAATGTGTAACATCAATCTCCTCGGTTTTATGGCAGATACAGCAAAAAAAATGAAAATTAATTCTTGTTGAATCGTCAGAAAATTTTGTTGGAATGTTAAAAATGATAAGCATTGCCCCGCATAAAAATGATAAGCATAAACCCGCGTTTTGATATTCTATAACAATTTATTTTGACTTTCTTACAAAATTATTTTAATTATTGAACAAAAATTATTTTCAGATTTAGCTCCAACAAAATTCTTTTTTCCGGCGGCGTTTACAATGACGTCCGGCGTCTACTTAAGATTTAAGATTTAAGAAAATTGATATATCACAATCGATCATTCTTCTCACATTAGATGAATAATCGATTGTGACTGGTCAATTTTCATAAATCTTAAGACTCATTGTAGACGTCGCTCTATATGTGTTTAGTAGCTCCATACAATGGAGTCCTTGTTGTTTAATTTTCGACGTATTATCTTATCGTTTTACATAACAACTTTTTATTATATATAATATAATAGCATTAGATTTATATTATCTTTGATTACAATTTCTCCCAGCTCTCCGAAGTTTCCCTAAGATAAGCAATATCACTCGACTCCACTTAAGTACTCCCTTTAATATGATACATATACTTGTATATATATATATATATCTTGTATCTTTTCATGTCAGCCGAGAAACAGCCAAAACTTAACATCTTTCTTTATTACGCAGTACGCGACTGCTTGATGTAACGATCGATAACAATGAGGCATTTTTTGTACTAGGCGTATTAAAAATATAGAAGTGTATACTATTACGTATTATATATATTATGTTTGCTATTTATATATACGTTGAAAAAAAATTTATATATACACGGAAAGAACAATTTTGTTGAAAGGTCTAAAAATTTTGCTAAAAACAGATCTGAAAATAATTTTTTGTTGCATCATCAAAATAATTTGTTGGAATGTTAAAACTGATAAGTATTGCTATAAAACAAGATCGGAAGAGCACA